GGGCTACTGACTTATGCAGAGGTGGCACAAAGTATGTATCTCAGCTTTCCAATAATTCTCCATTTTTGCAATTCCAACACTGTTTAGGGACCACAGTACGTTATAAACATTCAAACACTAGGTAAAAATAACACATTTATGCCACAAAATTGGCATTGTTTTGGCCCAAAACTCTATGGAATTAGCATAAAGTTGGTAACTCTTCAAAGGGAAGACTCACGAGAACCAATCAAATATCTTAAGGTCAGAGGTCAAAGGATCCCTTTGAAAATGGCCGTGCCAGTTTTTCCATTTCCAGAATGTAGCTTAACTTTCAAGTGTTATCTGTCATCCATCCATCTATGGCTGGTACCAGTGGATGTGTTTGGTCATCTAGTTTCATATAAAATCTGTATCTTCACTTTAGCTTTAAAACAAAGCCTGCTACATCCCCTAAAAGACGGTGGCCAGTACAAACCCTGGCCCCCCCTCTAGGCACACCCCTACTAAACAAGTATAATCAGTGTTTATGCATATTCTGCACTTACAGAAGGCTGGACTTCATTGCGTTGCTTATAGGTACTCTATCTTAGGGTGCCCCTTTCAGTGGAAAGAATGTGATAAAGTGCCCTAGGTTGCTAATCCTGACTAAACTGTTTCACCATAAACGCAACTTTATGTTAAAACAGTGCCTGTCGGTGCCCCTTTAATTTATTTCGCCTTCGCCACTGCAGCCTAGTGATTCACAATCGAGGTGGATGACGTTGTTGTTGCAATCCATTCATGAAATCCATCATAGTAACACAACAGATGATGATAATGTGTTTTGACCAAGGGGCAGTTCCATAATACCAGTATAAATATGCTAATAGATATATTTACATGATCATACACTCATCTTTAACTGACAGCAGTGATTCACACCCTTCTCTCTGCGTTGTCAAAAGGGCTTCTGGGAGAAAATCAGTAACCGTGATGGAGGGAGAGAGGGCCAACCAGTGAAAATAGCTACACCCAGAGTAGAAAAGAGAGAAAAGTAAATTACAACACTTCATCACAAAATAACTTGTGGTATCTAGCGAACACAGACGGCACAGAGAATTTCTAACAGTTAGTCTGTGATAGGGGGACATTCACTTTTCAAAATGACAAACCACACTGACTTTTGGCTCCTAAAAAAAACTCCCAGCCCTTAACAATAAATCAGTCGAAGCTTGTTCAGTTGATTGTGTCGACGATAATCCCTCTGCCTCTCCTCACATTGTACAAACTCACAGAGCGGAGAATACTTGAGAGGGTCTATTAAAGGAAGTCTGTTGAAACCTTATGGAGCGGGACTGCAGATCCGAAGAGGCGCAGCTACGGAGAGCGGTGAAACTATAAAAAGGTTAAGTAGGAGGATGAGACACAGGGGATGCATATGATGAGAAGCCCCTGTGTAATCAACCAGTGTCAGAAATCTCTAGCCTTGATACCCTGAGGGAGAAGCTTCCGGTAAGAGTATCAAATCTGTCTATTTTACCCCCACAGCACATGGAGCGTTTAGTGTGAAATTGACTGCAGATTGCTTGGTCAAGCTTTCCCTGTAACTGATGCCAGATACGTAGGTAATTCAATCAAGGGTGCACACAGGCGTGGGCACTGCTAATGTTTGAGAGAAAATGATAGAGTTACCTCACTGACAGAGCATGATGTCAGTATGTTCTGTACACAAGAACAAGAAGTGACATTAGGAAAAACAGTGGCTGCAGAAAACTTTATCTCTCATGAGGAACAGATTCATTTCTCACATTACAGAACTGAGATTAAAGAGAAGGCCTTTACTGATTAATTATATTTATTCCCTCAACCCCAGTCTGACCCCTTGTAGCCATCAAGAGGCATTGCAGGGTTTGTAGCAGTGGTGGAAAGTAACTAAGTACTGTGCTGTACTTAACTACAGATTTAAGGTCGGAAAAAAGAGATGGGTGCTTCTTAGGGTGCTTAGGGACAGGCTCATGCATTTATATCTTGCAGCAGATTAAAAGGGTACTTTATTGACCGTTTGGGACTGTAATCGCATCCATTGACTTGTGCCAATGTTGAGCAAACTAAATATTTTGCTGAAATTTTGGAAATGTAATTAACTGTCTGTCTATGTGTCAGAATCAGAAATACTTTAATAATCCCCGTGGGGAAATTACTTGGCAGAAGGCAGATTCAGATTAAACCTGTCTGTAGGATCATCACATACATTTTTATAAAAATACTGATTAAAGCTGCTTCTAAATACCTATTTAAAGGACCAGTGTGTAG